TGTTGACAGATCCCGTACAGCTAATCAAGTATCATATGAACTCCCCGGCGCACAAGCCCCGAAAATAATAAACAATATACAGTTCTACTTAGCCCACACCAAAATCATAAAAGCAGAAAGCTCAAAAACCCTTGGGACAGAGATAGACTACAAAGTAACTTTTGATAACCGAATCGATACCGTATGTAATACATTGAATAAACTGTACTGTGCTTTCACCAGTCCCAAACCGACAATAAAAGAAGTAATAATCACTGTGCTCCATAAACCAGCGGCAGATAAATATTGCATTTCAAACACTTCTTATATTAGACCACCTCCCGTGAGCTGAAAAAATACGTTATTTTCAGTTCAGGAAATTTTATTCCTATATTAACAAAAACAATACTACCAATTAATAAATAGAAATTGGGCAAACATTCGATGATTAGAGTTATTATGGTCATATTAAATATCACTATCATTCAAGTACATAAATGAAAACAAACATTTGATGTAAATGAATAATAGATAATTAACTCATCAAGTCATATTTTGTCGCATTTCTCATTTTATAATATTCAATGATGTCCCCCTAGACAATAACACAATAAAAAATAAGTCCACTTTGAAATTCTTGGAAGTTTATTCAGAAGAAAATTTAAAATTCTCTCAGCATATTGCACACATTAACAAAAAATTGGCATCAGGATATTTTGCATTGAGAAACATCTCAAAGGAACTGGGGTTTGCTGCAGCGAAAGTAGTGAACTATGCCTTAATTGGCTCTCAACTAAGGTATGGTATATCCTTTTGGGGTGTTTGCAGTAAACAACTTATACAGTCGGTTTTTGTCTTGCAAAAAAGGGCTATTAGGTACCTATGTAAAGCGAAATGGTGGGATTCATGTAAACCCCTTGTTCGAGAACATAGAATCCTTACAGTTATTTCAATATTTATATTGGAAACCATATCAATTATACATAAAAATAGGGAGAATTATGGATCTACAGCTACAGCCACATACGACACCAGGCGGTCAAATGAACTGAATCTACCAATTCCAAAAACATGTTTGGTTCAAAACTCGTTGATATATAATGGAATCAGGATATACAATAAACTTCCAAATGAAATCAAAGAGAACAACATTTATCATATTCAGAAAAAAATGTACAGAACTATTAAGTGATAAAGCCTATTATGACCTACAAGAATATTTTGACGATACCTTGTAATTTAGAATATGTGGAAATTGCGATTGTACTGTGTAAGAAAAACATATTTTCATTTGTTGTCCTAGTAATTGTCATGTAACTTTTGCATATGCATGTATATATAGTTTATATTTTATTTTAATCATTTACATTTTATACATTTATACTTCAAATCTCATACTTCAAGATTTATTCATGACATTGTGTTTGTAACAAGAATTCTATTCTTTAACAATAAACATATTATCAATCAATCAATCATTCTCAAAAAGGCAAAAATTTGTCGCATCTGTCAGATATGAAGGTTTGTGGCGCAGTTGGCTTAGAGTAAGCTTGGTATTTGGTAGGTAATAGGTTCAAAGTGCAGCTGAGTTTATTTTTCAGATGTCAAACAACTGTTCGCATAGCAAGGATATGTATAATGTAAACACATGAAGTAAGCCCAATGAGATGTGGGTGATGATATATTTTAATACATTTATTTTTCATACATATTTTTCATGATGTTATTATAATCTCTTCATCATACTCAAAATTTCCATCATATCTTGAGCGTATTTTGGAAAGATGTAGATTTATTACTAATTTTTGTCTAAAAAACTTACATCAGCAGCAGTCCACTCCTTTGATTTCCTTGGTTTGAATGGAGGAATCTCCTGAATCTTGTCGATCGTACGGGTACTCAGAGGTTTATGACTGTGAGTGAAAATTGATATGGTGGAAGAAGACAGGCCAGGTGACGTGGGCGTTGCCTGGGGAGTGCAATCTTTTGTTGACTCTGATTCCTGGTGTCTCAGCTTTTCTGTGGACCTACTTATGCTTTCAGATGCATTCCCAAGTGTATGGATAGGAGATACAGAAAATCTGAAAACGAATAAACAGTAGGGCAGCTGTAGAAGATGTAAATTTCATTAAAAACTCAAGACTCTTACCTTCCGATAAGTTTCGATGTGACCTCCTCTGGTGAAGGGGTATTATTCGTGATTCTACTAGCTTCCCTTCTAGCCCACTCTATCTTTGCCATTTCTGTTGCCAGCCATCCTGGTATGTCAGGTATCGCACACGTTATAATGAATCTTATTACCAACATAATATGCTACAACAAACATTTAACGAGTAACAAGCAGAAGTTTTTGGACAGTTGTCACATTACCTCTAAAGCAACAATGAGAAGGATGGTCTGAGTGGCAGTCATGTCTGAAAACATTCGATGTACTTGTCCAGAAAGGCCTATCAAAGCACAGTTCACCAATACAGCCATTATGCTCATGTACTCCATACAATTCTGAAAGATGTTCCAATATACAAGCCATACCGCAAAAAAAAAAAGAAAAATATTACTTGCCAAGTACCGATATTCGGTACACGCTGACCGAACGGTCTCTGACACACATAGGCTAGTTTGAAGGCGTCACTTCTGATTTCTATGAGGTTATTGAGCATTGCACATAATGCTGCAGGTGGAAAAGCCGAGGAAAATAATATCACATATCCCAGTTGTATTGTCATTTCCAGATGGTCAGAAAAGGTACCATCATACTGAAATTAAGCCCAAATTAAATATTTTACATTTTGTATCTGTGTAAAATGTTTTTACCATGTTTCATATTATTTGAAGATTCACCATGGCCATTTTTGAACATTTCTTTGAAATTTTTATAACGCAAAATGTATGGAATATTTTACTCAAGTCTTTTCAAATTTTCAGGACAAATGATATTTCAAATGAATTTCTGTTTCTACTTGTTATTCGTGCAGCTAATCAAGTATCATATGATCTCCCCGGCGCAAAAGCCCCGAAAATAATAAACAATATGCAGTTCTACTTAGCCCACACCAAAATCATAAAAGCAGAAAGCTCAAAAACCCTTGGGACAGAGATAGACTACAAAGTAACTTTTGATAACCGAATCGATACCGTATGTAATACATTGAATAAACTGTACTGTGCTTTCACCAGTCCCAAACCTGGCTACTTCCTGAATGTATAAATTCAGCAAGGAATTTTAAGAGCTTGAAAACTAACTTGAATGATTTTTTGCCTCATCATTCCTTTCATTCAGTAAGTCAATACATCAAGAACTTCTATACACTTCTTATACTTGTTTCAAATCTGTTCACGTCTTATATTTAGGTTGGGTTAGGTCAAAAGTGAGTGGCTCTATTAGGCCCTACACTACAACCCGCAAGAGTTTATCGTGGCTCACGTCTTATATTCTCAACAATTTTGTGCTATGATTATAGCAAACCTTCCTCACCTGATATTACAAATAAAATACTCTCCATGTCAATGCTCTCCGCTTGTCCATATAGATACCACTGCTCCTGGTGTGACTAATGTTCTCTCTCCATTGTCTACTGCTTAGTTAGAAGCCTTCGACATAACAACTCGAGTAGTTTACCTTTTACTATATTTGTAATCACAGTTGTCTCATAGGGCATATTTGTATATTTATTTGTCTGTGCATGTTCAATCAATTGTTTAATGTCTTTATGTGTAAACACTTTACTTTATTGACTACCATTAGACATGTCTCAGGTCATGTAAATGATCTGTGCAGATCGACTATCTATCTATGTAGACTAATCTTTCTCAAAGTGGGCGATAACGCCCCCTTGTGGGCGCTGGAGGCCTATATGGGGGCAGTAAAGGGCACAGAGAAGATCGGGGGCGTTGTAGCGGTTTAGGGGGGGCGATGGCTAATTTAATAATGTTTTTTTGCTTTTAACACAAACTTTATCGCTTCTTTACGCATAACGCGCATTTCCTAGCGTAACGCCATCTAGGGAACTAGACAGTAACTATAGTGTCCGATAGTTGTCAAACTGTACAATAGATGGCGGTAAGCTTCAATGCCAAGCAAGAACTTTCTAGTCTCCATTCTCGAAAGTACTAGGCCCGCCCGCTGCCATATGAAAGCGCGTGCGCCATCCAGCCAGTAATGTCATTCGACGATATTACGAAAACAAGTGAATTTAGTTAGCGACTAGCTAGGTAAAGTGCTATAGTGCGATGGTGATTACTGTGAGTGGTGTCATTAGCAAGTTTTGATTTTAATACTCGATTCTTTACTTCGACATTTTTCAAGACAAAATTATGTCGGAAGCAAAAAATAAGTATATAAAATATGTATTTATTGAAAATTCCACAAATAAATCTTCGCCTATGTGCCTTCTTTGTCAAAAAACATTTTCGAATGAAGCGATGAAACCCTCAAGGCTACAAGATCGTTAGAACAAAATGCATTCAGATAAAAAAGACAAAAGTGTGACTTATTTTCAAGAACTGGAAAAGAAACACACAGCTCAGCCAACCGTGACAAAACTTTTTTCAGCGGCTTCAAAGCAAGACGACGACGGTCTCCGAGCTTTCTACAATATCTCCTTGCTAATCGCCCAAACAGGTAAACCTCACACTATTGAAGAGGGTTTAATTTTACCGACAATAAAAGAAGTAATAACCACTGTGCTCCATAAACCAGCGGCAGATATCCGAAAAATTCATTTGAGTAATAATTCTGTGCAAAGACGAATTGATGAGATGGCTGAAAACATTGAAGAGTCATTGTGCAATCATCTGAAGACTTCTAAATTTACAATTCAGTCCACTTTACCAACCAATGAAGCATTGTTACTGTCATACGTGAGGTTTATTAAAAATGAGAAAATATATCAAGAACTACTATTTTCCAGAAATTTAGAGACGGATACAAAAGGAGAAACCATATATAATACACTGGAAACATTTTGTAATGAGAAAGAAATTCCACTGAAGAATATTATATCAGCTGCTATGGATGGCGCTCCGGCTATGACAGGACGTCACAAAGGCTTCATAGCGTACTTAAAAAATAAAATGCGAAAAATTTGAGTGAGCGCCTGTCTCAATAACTGCAATATATCATCAAAGCAGTCAATAAAATCTGAAACAGTTTTTTAAATGACAGATTATTTAATCAGCTTCGTGTTGCTTATGATGAATATTTCAACCGATTGCTATTTCACACAGAAGTGCGTTGGTTATCAAGAGGTAACTGTCTGACTCGATTTTACAATCTATTTGACTCTGTAATAGAGTTCTTGGAAAACAAAGACAAAGAATTGCACGACAACCTCATCACTTCAAAGAATGATATTGCATACTTGACAGACCTGTATAAAATCTCCAACTTCAAGGTGACGACTTGAATTTGATTAAAACAAAAAATGTCATTCCTGCTTTTGTAGCCAAATTGCTCTTATACAAGAATAATATCGGCAGACGTGAGTTCGGCAGACGTGAGTTTGGCAATTTCCCTACTTTGTCAGCAGTAACTTTCAACAACAACGACTTGCTTGTTTACTGTGAACATTTGGAGAACCTACATAGTGATTTCGAAGAACGATTCCAGGACATTTCAACATTGGAAATACCGGACTGGGTGTTGGATCCTGTGTCAACACAGCAGGATCACCCAGCTGGAAGAACTCATAGAACTGATAATGAACGAAGAAATAAAAATAAAATTCAAAATGGATACCAAGAATTTTGGCTACAAAAGCCAATCCCGCAATTGTACCCTGGATTGGGGTCCATCGTTCAACGATTTTTGATAGCATTCCTATCATCGTATTTATGTGAACGTGCATTTAGTTCTGTGGCAACGTTGCTAACTAAAAAGAGAAATCGGTTGCAGATTACCGAACGCGGTGACTTACGGCTGTTTTTGAGTAAATTCGAGGCTAATATTAAGGCTGATGTTAAAAATCATCAAATTCATCTTTCACATTAGATTAGTTTTAAAATTCAAATTGAAATGTTTGTTTTTCCTAATATTACAAAATGGTGTTTTACATTACCCTCATCAGAAAGCCTTATTTTCACATGTCACACATAATTTAATTATTAATACAATGACTGCGATTGTGATTCTTAAGATGTAGTAAAGAAAAAAAATTTGGTGGGCGCTAGAAAATAATTAATTCTCGAAGTGGGCGGTAAACAAAATATAAGTTTGAGAACCTTTGATCTAGACAGTGAAAAGCAGAACATCAAACATTCAAGATTTGTAGTGTTTGCTCAGTCCAATTTACTGACAGTTTATACATAATGTAATTAGCTTTTGTTGCTTAAATGTGAGGATTTAGTGGGTGAAATGAAGATCTCCGATTTCTGAGTCATGGAGGAGGATCAAGAGAGGACTGAGAATTAAGTATTTCCTCTACCAGCTACTCCATTTACTCACTTTGTACAGGGTACTTTCAAGTTCAGCCTGACTCATGCTTCTCTTGGCATTCGGTTCATCCAAACCATCTTCTTTGGTTTCGCCAGTCGACGTTTCATCTGGAGCGTTCTCGCATCCCGGAGGAAGTTTATTACCTACAGGGCTCAGCGCTCCCCACATATCGAAGCTCATTTTAGCTAATCTCATATGCTCCAACAAATAAGGGAGAGCGGATTCCTTGAGATTGCCTATAACCTGCCTCGAAATGAGCAAAGCGGCAAGTTGCTGAAAGTATTGAATAATAATAAGTGAATTAGCCGAAATAGATCAAGTTGAGAGTGTCTGCAATAGATGGTGGTAGTTACCTCTTTCAGCCGGGCCTGGTCTTGAAGATAAAATGCAATATAAAATAGAGACAGGAATGAATTGACAAACTGGAACTGAAATCAGAAAGCAAGTCATTAGATGTAGTGGCCCAACAAAACAATGTTTGATTTTAATGAATTGTGAGCAATTAAAGGTGCGAATGGATTGAATGATGGCTATGAGTTTCATTCCAATTATTTATTTGGAGGTGAAGGAAAGGAAGGAATTGAGATTAACTTAGTGCGTTATTTTTCCGATTAGTCGATCTTTGAACTACGAGCAGACCAGAACTTTTCCAAAAATTTTGAAAATTTACAGTGTGTGCTTTTGAAAAGTTTTCTCTTATATTTTTTATTTATCGAGCAATTCAAGCTCGATAGATAATTTTACGCTAATTTGGTTTTTATTTTGAAAAATATAGTGAAAACTTTGGTCACTAACAGATTTGAAACATATTTTTGAACTGTCATGTAAAGGAAGATCTACTATGGGGTAAAATTCAAAATTATTATTTGTCCGAACATACTATGATGTTTCTTCTTTTTCCAAAATAGAGAATTTGTATTAGCCATTTTTTTAGTAAACAAATCACTATGATACAGGGTTCAAAATGCCTTCAAAATGTGATCAAAATTTCATGAATATATTGTTTTGAATTTTTTTACTTTCGAGAGTATTCAAAAAGTTAATTTCACAGTTAAATATATTACATTTTTTGAATGAATGCTGTGGTGCATTTTGAATCCGCTCCTGAAGTTCAAAGATCCACAAGTCTATTTCCAGATTAAATACTTTTTTATCCATGCATTTAGGATAATAAAATGAAAAGAAAAACTACAAGGAATCCTAGGAAAGACTATCACTAAATGTCTGTGTGTAGAGGAGATACAAACCAGGGCAACTTTTCCGATGAGGTGGTTCTCGTATTTCGTCTCGAGACGATAATTTTCTAAAGAGCAGCATGGTGAAAACAAAAAAGGAAAAATAGCTTACAACTCAGGTCAGAAACATCTGCTATACTAAAGAAGGTAAAGTTTCTAAAGTCATATGAATTGCTAGAACTAGTTGGTAAGAAATTAAAAAAAAATTGTTTGGAAAAAACTCACCTTTGTCGTTTAACCAGATGGCAATTCTAAAATAAGCTTCGTCCATCAAAGAGATGATGACAGCTAGCATTATTTTAGGGAGGTAACCAAGCCAGTGGGGTAAGCCTCGGTTTCTTAAAACATTATCCCAACAATCCTGTAGAATGTAGAAATGTTACATTACTGGGGAGGGGTTCATAAAACAATCGAAGGTAGATACAAAAAGTTTTATTAGAGAGAAGATATTTAGTTTGATGATCAGAATTGAAACCTCTGGCATAAAATTGAATCTATCAAAAATACTTTTCCCGCACCAAAACAAAAAATATTGTCTCCTGACGCACATTTTGCTAATCAAATTAGCATTTTTCGATTTTCAAACTGAGTTTACTTTCAAAATTTTCGTTTCCTAATTAACTTATTTACTGTGTCTGAAGTATACTCATTACTTACAACTAATTCCTTAATAGAAGAATAAATCTATCAACGAAATAGCTAAAGGTAACGGGTATCTTTGAAACATAGTAAATAAAGTATACCTTTGGAGGGGGGGGGGGGAATGTTGGACTCAATTTCGAAGTTACAAAAAGGAACAATCAAAAATAAATACAAAAAGAAGTCAGGTGATTCATGCAGTTATTTAAAGAAAAAAATATATTAACAGTTGTACAGCAAACGCCAAACGTGATGGCGAGCCCGCACCCATGCGCATAAACTCATTTTCCATATAAATCCCACTACAGCTCATGTGAGATACACAAATGCTTGTTTTCTTTAGAAGGATTAGATATGAACAATTACGCAGCAGACAATGTGGCTCCTTGTCGTTACAATCTATATGCACTTTCGAATCACACTTACAATGGGCATTAAACAGCATATTGGAGACACCTTTATAGTGGAATGAATACAACAATTCACAAGTGTCCCCAAAATCGCTTGTGAGTGAGGAGGCATATGTCCTCTTTTATGAACAGGAGGGAACAAAGCAGTACTTTTGAGGTGTTTTTTTCCTTCTCTCTTTTAATAAGCTAAATTTTGTTACATATTCTGTTTTTTCGTTAATCATATTGTAGCCTAACTTCAAAAGTATTCTTTTATTTTCTCTGATATAAGTGATCCATTAATATTTTCTTTTATATGGATTGAAAACCCTAAAACCAAGTAAAATACTGACCTGTATTTGTAGAGAAACTATCATTATACAGAAAACTGCAACTAAACAAATGGCGATAATAGGTACTGTGATGCAGTAGCGAAAAACATGCCTCTTCCAAGGTGGGTGGTGGGGTTCGAGACGCTTGGTGACGGGGCTGATTTCCAAGGGGCCCTGTGAACAAATAATAACATGTCGAGGCAGCTGTTGATACGTCGACATGTTACAGGCTCTATAAGCACTACTGAAGAAGCGTTTGAAATGATTTGACGGAGGAAACTCAAGAAAATATAATGAAAAATGTATTTCATGCTTTTTGTGATTCAATGATGGTACTCTGCATGTGACGAAACTGAATATCAAATTTAAATTTATGATGATTTACACTGTACTTTGTACCTTTCCTTATATTGTTTCAGACTATAAAACTGACAAGACAATAGTATATTTTTATTGCTACTTAGTGAGATTTCAGTAATAGGAGGACATATTGTTTGATAAATTGTAGCACATGCTAATTTTTCATTTTCAAAAAAAAAGAATTATGGATTTCCACAAGAAACACTTTCAGGTCCAATATTGTTCAACATATTTCTTTATATTTTTTATTTAAAAACGAGTGGTTTTATACACAGCTTTACAGATGACACTGTCATAGGTAGTTTATAAACAAAAACATGGAAATCTCTCAAAAATCTCATTCAAGTTGATTCAGAAAATGTAAAAAATTGATTAATAATCTGTTAACTCTCAATTTTGAGAAATCACTTTATCTTACTTCAACTTTTTATCGAAATCTGTAACGGTTTAAATTTCTGAATTCAGAAGAATCAGTAGAGCCGCCCTGTAGGTTCGTTATTTTATCAGCATATTGCTGGGATGGTGGGTTGTCTAGTAAGTAGGAATAAATAAAACCGAGGAGATTTTCACGGTCAGGATTTAAAAACGGTTCAGATCGTAAAGCCTACACAAAAGCAAGGTTCTAGCAAGGAACTGTCCAAAACATAAAAACATGTAAGGCCAGTCAAATTAATCAATTCAATATTTTCATTTCCTATTCTTGAAATATCGGTAGAGAATTCCATAACAAATGTTTTCAGGTTTTTTGGACAAGAATAATAAGATCACCTATGAAAGATTCACGTCGAGCACTGTCAGACCTTTTATTCATTTTTTGGTGTTAAAAAAAAAGATTTTCAAGGCATATTTATCTGGTAATGGGAGAAATTCTTCGGAAAAGCTATAAGTTGCATCATACATATCATTCTTCGAGATATGAGGAGACACTCTAGAAAGTACCAACGGAGAGCCGTATTAACTTTTACTAATTATGAATTATGATGATTATTACTGATACCTATATGAATCTACTCAAGTTATATTGAAACAAGTTCGGATTATTCATATTGTATGTACTAGAATAATGTATAAAAGATAACCCATAAGACTATTACATTAATGATTCTACCACTCCGTCAAGACAAATAAGTTAAGGTACAGTATGTTATATTAGTTGAATATGAAAAATCAATTGGTAACATTCTTTGCAAAAATCCCATTATTATTCATAGATTAATATGGATTAACATAAAGCAGGAACACAGAAGCAGTCTTGCATAATACTCAACAGATGTCTTTAAAAAAAAGTCAGATCAGCAGATCATTTGGAAACTTTTCCAGTGCCTTCTATTGTGTGATCCAGGTATTCTTAACTTTTGAGCTAGAACAAATCTGAGCAACTTTCCAGAAACTGGACTGAAAAATAACAACACTCACTTGACGACAGAAATAAATGCTGCTCCACATAAAGCAGTTCAAGTCATATTCAAATACTTGACAAATCAACACAATGTTAATGAAAAATTGCTAATTGCACCAGTACTGAATTTCCATTGATCTTACCCGAAATAAAGGCCTGGGTTCTGCCAAGAGATCATCTCTCTGATCCAAGGTGCCCCAGCGGAAAGCCAGTTCAGCAGAATAGCGTTTCCAAGCTTGAAGGTACGTAGTAACCCATACAACATTGAATATTGAGAACAGCACATATCCTATATCTTCAAGTGTTTGATGTTTACCATTGCAACATAACTAAATAATGTTTATTTTTAGTTTCAAAAGTGATCAAAGTTTTTGATATTTTTCTCACCCAAAATATAAAACCAAACAGTGCTGGTATACTCAAAGCTGTCGTGTAATGGCCCAACCAGGCAAAATACATGCCAATTTTAACACCAAAATACTCTGTGATGTCATCTGCAATAAAAACAAATTATTGATATTTCATTTCAAGACTTGGATGCCCCCTGTTGTACAGCGCTGAAAAACTACATTATTATCATTAGCAACAAATTGGCGAACTTATACAAATTAATATATTATTATTATCCATACCCAAGGGCTGCCTCGCAAAAACATCCCGCACCCACGAATTCTGAAGCCTTTCAATTGCTGCAGGTTCGTGTATCGGAAAAACTTGTGATATTATACCTCCGATAAGGCATTTGGGAACTGAAAATAGTTTTCAAGTAAACAACAGTAAAACCTGTATCAATTCTTACTTATTGGCTGATCGACTATCAAATTCAAATCTGGAATCACATCAATGTCACAACTTTTTGCTCGTATACCCTCTAGGAGCCGTAATACTAGCCATTGCCTTTCCTCTGTTGTGAAAAAATATTTTTCATCGTTGGATCCTTCATACGACGAGAAATCTTGGACAAAAAACTCTTTCAGCCCTCCACCTTTGTCTTCTCTGAGAGATTTTGGAAGATGGTACTCTTCAGCAGCCTTCAGGAGGCTACAATAATTTGCATTGAGGACAGTTCTTACCAAATTTCAAGAATTTTTTCAAAATTAAACAGTTTTGTTTTTACTTTCTTTAATTTTCTTTTAAAGCAGGTAGAAAACTTGTATGATTCAATTTATTTATTTACATAAAGCACTAAATAAGTAGAGTTTAGTTAGTATGAACATGTTAGGAGAACCTATTGTATAGTGAAAGGCGTGTACCGATCTTGTAAATTTTTCAGTAAAAATCTCACAACAATGTGCTACTGAAAGACGGATAGTTTCTTTATATTATTCACTTTTTGAATATTCATTATTGAGACTGTCTTGACTGTGTATGATCTACCTATGAATGAATCAAACCAACAATGTAGCTTATTATTTCATATGTTTGGTTGATGTTATTAAAGTTGTTCTGTTTTATTCTTGCACTTCTTGATACTAGTGGAAATGCAGTAAACTGGTTTTGTGAAAGTGTTACTTTAAACTGTAAGCTGACATTTTATTAAAGTTTTCCACCAAGTGTCAGGAAATTCTATTGAAAATTTTATAAAATAACTTACACAGAGAAAGGGGCAGTAAGGTAAAAGGCGCTACTGTGGGTTGATGTATGATGCCGTACATGTACAGTTAAACCTGGGGACTGTCTCAACTTGGACAGCAACCAAAGTAAAACAGGGTCTTTCGTTCCTGGGGGAAATACTATAACCACGTCGCAGTTTGGAGTGGAAACTCTTTTCAACCAAAGCCGTTTTGGAGCCAAAAAATGTCCAGAGTAAGGAATTTTCCTCCGCAGAAGTTGTGAGGCTACATAATAATAGTATCATGAAGGTTGTCACCTTAACATTATGCAGACTGACGTACCCTGATCAAGTTTTTGTTGTGCACTTTCAACCAAATTCCTTCTTCTCAATCCGTGTCCTCTTTCAGGTTCACTTTCTGTGTCTTGATTCACCATTGCCTCTATACTTGACATTATAAACAGATAAGTACAAGATCTTCAAATGAAGTTAAATCAATGTAAAGGTGTCAGGTAATGGGTTACATTTAGGATGACACTTCCAATCTTCAGATTTCAAATTGATTTGCGAACACTCAGTGGCTGAAAGTAAATCCTAAAAATTAGATTCAGAGCGCTATCAAAAGAAAACAGAGTGTAAGTTTGACTTCAGTCGAAAACAGAAGGTCGTTGATCGCTGATTATCGTCGTTATGTTTTTTTTTTTATTCGTTTAGGTTTGAGAGCATAGATCCATCTGACAATTGACAATAAAGAAATAGGGACATTTTTGTGTAGATTGAGTTCAAACTCTCGATTATTGGCCAAGATATCAGCGAAGAAACAAGGGCCTAGAAATGAGAGGATGAAGAAAAAAACGATTATACACGTCAAAAGGAAACTACTGTTTCCTTTCATTCATGTGACATTCATGATGACGTCACTAGCGGTGCTCTTGTGTGTGAATACATGACAAAAAAAATTGGGTGTAAATGTAAATATAATTCAAATACAGCAATTAAGTAAAGGTGATGCTTTCGAATGAATGGTATTGCAGATCTAAATACATCCACTCAAGTTGAAATTGAATTATTCAAACTTGCGATAGTAACATTCTGATGCAGTTGTTGGAGTGGTTTGTTTATTGATAATGGTCGGTCGTATCTTTGGCTACCAATTCATAAATACGATTATTATCATGTGTTTATTCACCAATACATAATGTCAGGTCAGCATCAGTGTTACCTCCGCCTTTCTTTTCACTCTTTCTAGATGTTGGTTTCCGGCCAGACTGGGATCTAGTATCACTTCCAGATATTTGACCTTCCCGGGATTCTTATTTACGAAGCTAGGGTTTGTTATATACGAACCTAGGGTTCGTATATTTCTACGAACCCTAGATTAATCGACCAATGACACCGACAAACTGCTGGATTGTTTTTACAAACGAACGTACCGCCGAAACAAAATCACAGAATGAAAATTAAAAATCATAGAGTAACGAGTAACTTAATTTTTTGGTTCCGCTTATGTCATGATGTCCCATATTTACGATATTGTAGAAGACGCGAAAGTTGTAACAAAAATATAATACTTGAATTCAGATATGGCAGATTGGAGGATTAACGAAAAGTATCGCAAACCTAGACGTACTAAAGGAACTCCTCTTTACGTGACTAGAAACTATTTTGCTTTGGGTGGTCTGGCTTTTGGAGCCATTAGCTGGTATATTTTCGAGTGAGTTGTTTTGTAATGAGAACTGATTATTTATTCTAGAGGTTTTTTTTACAGGCTCACGTCAGGCAGTAAGAAATTAAGGAAATTTGTCCAAGAAGGGAAACTGGATTATCCTGAAGGTCTTCAATTGAAAATTAATCATATAAAGGCCAGTCTTCAAGACTCTGCAGTCAGTATAATTTTGGCCAAAGCAAGGGACAATGAATTCAAAAAACATGAAGAAAAACCAAAAGAAGGATCATGGTTTAATAAAGTCCTTTATTCTAAACCCGATGTGTAATAATCAGGCTTCAAGTAGTTTTAGGTTTGTTCCTGATAGAAACATGTAATTTGTTTTTGTTCTGTATAAAGTATTGAATTCACTGATTTTTTATTGTTGACAGATCCCAAGTTCCAAATCGAAATAGTGATTCCGAATCTTTTGATTCTCCTTACAAAAACTCTTTGAGTGAAATTAAACAAATTACCTTGATTAATGATGGGGCTGATGATTTTAGAACTCCAAAGCCAATTAAAAAGGCGTTGAAGAGAGTCCCTAACAAGAAAGTGACAGTAAAGAAACGAAGTTCGAAGAAAACTAAAAAATTTACAAACTCCATAGAAAAGTATACCAAAAACAATTTTCAAAATTTAGATGTGAATCCAGAACATTTGCAAATGGCGTTAGCCTTATCAAAATCTACTTTTGCTGAGGAAAACCCGGAAGAATTTAAAAAAAGTGAAGAGCAAGACTTTCCAGTATTTTTGTCACCAGAAAAAATTCCAAAGAGGGGAACTGTTTTGGAGCGATATGGATTTAGGCCAGGTAATAAACCTAAACTGCACCCTGAACTTCATGTGGATCACTCTGAAGTGAGGTAAAATTAAATATTCCATTCATTGAATAAATCTGTTACTTTCAGGAATCAAAGAGACGTAAATATTCCAAATTCAGATTCGTAACACCAACTCTACATATTCGTACTAAGGAAGAAAGGGAAGAGTTGATAACTGCAAAAATATCTTTGATTATTTCTCAAGAAAGACGAACATTTCCAGAATATCCAAACTTCTCTCAGGATTCTCTAATAAGTGATATTTTACAGAAATATCACTGTCAGGAGAATCATATTCTGAATATTGGTATGATTGGTATAGATGAACTGAAAAACTTTTGTTATTATTGTTGCTCTTTGGAAGTGCCTCCCAGTAGGGCAGTTTATGGTTGTCTTTTGAAAAAGTGGGAAGATATCATTGGTAGAGAGAAATCCCCTGAGAGATACTTTGCAACTATCGAGTCTGAATCAAGTGATTCCAAGAATGATGATTGTCAAAATACCACATTCCAGAATGATTCTGAAGCCTGCAATTTTGTTGACAGACAATTGAATTGTCCATCTCCAGATCTTTTTGATTCTGACGATGAGTCATCTTTGAAAACTTCTGACAGTATTGAGAGGTTCCCATCATCTTCTATAAATATGTCACCTTTTAGGAGCTCCGGCTCACTGTGTAGCACTATCCAAACACTTCAAAAATGTTCAGGAGACATGTCGTTAATTTGTCTTAGCAATAATGGCATTGAACATTATGAGAGTTTCAACTCAGATTTTCATAATTTGTCAAAAGAAGTAGTCATTTCCAAGGAAACAGAAAAATGTGAGTCTCACAGAACACGTGAAGAAAAATTAATTGATTCAACGCAGAATTCCTCCTCAAGTGGCAGCTGCTCACTGGATAAGCATAATACTGAAGACGATAATGGTGAGATTGAGTTATTAAAAAAACAGATAACTTATTATTAGTCAGTGGGGTTTGAAATTCAAATTTTATCTGCCTACTTGTGTAGAAATCACAAATGTTGAAAATCAACTTGAGAAATAATTGCATATTGTATTAATTCAGTCTGGTTGTCCTTCTGTAAACAAATTCAGTTTTTTAAGGTATTATAAAAAAAGGGTAGCACTCAAATGATGTATCTAAAACAGGTAATTCGTTCAAATTCACAAACTGAATTAATTACCAAGTGTATAAGTTGTACTTGGTAAAATAAATGAAATGTTGGTAGTTATTCCGTTAATCAGCTGTTATCCCCATACATGTAACAACCCTCGAAAAGTTGGGACTTGTATGAACTGAAGATTAACGAGGTCTTACCATTCAAGGTGTGATTTATAGCATGGGTGAGTTTGGATTGAACCAACATTTACGAGATAGGTTGTTTCATGAATGTAGTTCACAACTGGCCATCATCTGATCTGATATTTTCAATGAATATAGGAGGTGAACTGGTGATTTGAAAAACAAGCTAATTATGTGCCAGAGATGGCACATAAAAATGGCACTGAACAATACTCTTGAGGCACACCAGAAATCACTGAAATGTCTGCAGATATATCACCCTTGATCTCCACTGATTATCGTTGTTTGCTTGCTTATCTAGTTCCAAAGGAACCAAAGATTTTCAAGTCATAATAAAAAGTAAGGAAAATAAGAAGATATAATTTAAAGTTTTTTTGAAAAAATTGAAAGATTTAACTTGAGATTTAATTAAATTTCAACAGTTTTAGATGAAGTACCCAAAATTAGTTCGAGTCAAGAGAAAATTTCCGAATATTCAGCTATAAGAGAAGACACGGAAGGCAATGAAATGGAATTTGATGATTTCTTTGATTTGACACAAAGGTTTCCGCCACAAAATAGATCAAACTTGGTTTATGAAGAAAATCAATCAGGCCATATAATCAAAGATACTTCTATTAATCAGTGTGATAATAAGGACCAACTAGAAGAGTTTCATACTAATAACAGGTCACCGTCTGTTGAGTTGCCTAGTCAAGCTGTAAATACTGATGAGGACAAATATATTGAAGCCGCCGAACTGAGTCTGGACAAAAGTTTTGATGTTAAAGGAAACTCTGAACACTCCATAAAAAGACTTTCATTTAGATCTGATGAACATTCGGAGGATTGTAACAACACAAACAATTTAAATATAACAGATTATATTACTGAAATGATGAATTCCCTACCAGGTACTTTTTCATTCATTTCTTTCATTTTGATAGTATTATTGAAAGAAAAAAAAATTCTATTTTGTTTTAAAAAACATCTCTGGAATACTAAATCTGAATTCTCATGTATTTGATTTGACAATGTATATAAGTTTTATTATTTTCAGATGAAGCTGCCCTGATTGAATATAATTCTGAAAATGAAGCTTCATTTTTGAAAAATACTGAAGACACAGTTGAGGGAAGAGTATATGTTGATGAGCCACCTCAAAATAGATCAGATTTCATGTGCGAAAATAAAGATTCCAACTCGACAATAGTAAATGGTTTTGTTGATCATTCTGAAATTGTGGACAACCAAAAAGAAAATGATGCTGATGTGAACCCAACTCCAGTTATGGATTACGAATCTTTCAAGCAGAGTAAAATAAATATAGACAGCCCCATAAAACGATATTCATTTATGTCGGATCGATACTCAAAGGGATATAACAATACAAACGATTTGAATGTTACAGACTTTATAACACAAATTTTGAATTCTCAGTCAGGTAATTTTGTACTCATATTTGTCATTTAATTTCATTGTATTTTCTCCAGATCAAGGTTTCAACGAGAACAACTCTGATAACTCCAGTCAAACTTCATGTTCGCAAGAAACTATCATTATCAGTGATGAGGAACTTAACTACTCCAGCATCCACTGTAGGAAACAGAAAAATGATGATTTTTATAACTTGAGTGTTTTCGATGAAGTAGGTCCTGATCAAAATGAAGATGTAATAGACAAAAAAGAAATTGATAACATCCATTTAGGTATATTTCAAACTACTGGTGAATCCCTATTTTATACAATTTTTTTTTCATAGAACTCAGAAGTAAATATGGATCACAGTCATCACAACAAAGTTTAGAAGAGGTAGAGTTGAGTCAACATTCACAAAGTGACAAACCAGAGGGAAACCAAGTTAAAGAGCATGTTATACTGCATAAAATTGAGGTTCCTGAACCGGTTCCTTCCAAAACAAGTACCAGTACAGCACAGATAAATAATGGCATTAATGTGTCTACCCCCGATAATAATCTCTTTATAAAAACAACAGATGTCACCCCAATGATAAACTATGATCAGATGGACACACCAAGCATCAGGAGGGAGTTGGACAAATTTGGCTTCAAACCTTTGAAAAGACCGAGAGCCATTAAACTACTGAAGTATATTTATGAAACTACCCATCCCATGGTTTCTTCCTCTGAATTGTCTAGTCCTGAGGAAGAGGAAGATGGCAGAACTGTGAAACGTAGAAAATCGATTCACTTTGGAGAACACTTCCTAGATGGTGAGGGGTTGATTTTTGAGAGAAAAATATCTTCGAAAATCGTATCTTGCCGCATTCCTTTGCAAATTGTTTGGTACAATTTTCTCTCAGAAAATCCTCAACTTGAAGATAATATTCTTCTGTATGAGCCAATACAGCTGGAGGTTGTCCAATCGATGCTAAAGGAGCAGTCAGGTTGTAAATTTCATATAGAGGTAATTTTTTCTCTCTATTCGCTTTTTAATTATTTGAATTTTCATTAACTAATCGTGTCACCTAATTCTCTCTGCATTTTAGGATCTGATTACTTTCCTAGACAAGAAATGTATAACTTTCCGAACAACCCAAACTCAAAGTTCCAGAAACAAAAGAAATTAATTGAACTGAAGTGCCTTTATATAAGCTATTTGTTATAATGCTATCAATTATCGTAATTTTTTTATGTAATGTAATCTTTGTATATGTATATAGAATTGTTGATTCGAAAATAAATATAAGTAAAGATCTCATCAGTCATAACAAAATATTGATCTCTGGTAATAGCCTTTGCTGAAACTCGTCAATTGTTTGCCAGGAGAAACTTCCTCCCAAATGTATTCAATATGAGATTTTCATTATAATAGTTTACAAAATCGCAGTCTGTTTCACTTTGAAAGCTTCTTCAGACGTGTCTAATATTAGTGTCAGTGGACTGAAAAATAGAACTTGAACCTCTGGCGAATAATGATTCAATACGAAGACTGATCCTATGTAACAGAATGCAACACTTCTCTTCACGCAATTCACCAACAAAGTTATTGGTATCAAATGATTATGTTGTATTCTAGTATTAGACACGTCTGTTCAATTTTTATTAGCCAAGTGGAAAATTATTAATAGAATCCTGTATAATGTTTAAACTATCTGATAGATGCGATAAAAAATGAAAATGACATAAAAAAAATAAATTATAAGAATGTGAATTGGAGAAAAATTTCAAATTTTGGATTTTTCATTCACTACATCAAGTTCTTTGACAATATCTCCGTAGATGATGTCATCAATGCCGCCATATTGAATTTGGAGAAAATATCTTGTACGCCGCCATTTTGAATAGAAATGGTTACCTTCTTGTGAAAAATGGCCTGAAATATACAGGGTTGTTTAAAATTCTTGACTAGAGTTAATTTCCAGTTTAACTGGAAGGGGGTCAATAGTTTCATCGTTAGAAATATCAGCTCCAATAAACAATACCTTTGTTTCGAATTTCAAATTTTTCACCACACAAACTGAATGGTACTGTGTACAATGATTTCATTATCACTCGGTATATGTATGTACATTGTTTATAGTAGGAAGAAGAATACAATATTACAACACACGAGAACTCAAATAAGAAATGCTTTTGTGCTACACACATGGAGTTCTCAACATTTACAGCTTATCCCAATAGTGAAAGTAGTATACACTCGGTGTATCTTTTACATTAATAAAGAATATAAATACACTGAATGTGCCCTAGTTTCACCAATTGTTATTAAATGCATGGGCTAATATTTTTGTAAATTCGCTTGTGTTCTTTTTCACTCCTGGAAATTTACTTCACAATGTTACCGACTCGCTCATAGAGAATGATTATGCATGCATTGAAAAGCACCAAATAAGGTGGTGCTGTCCACTTCACTCACAAAATCTGCATAATTACATAAAAGACAGCTTTCGAGGTTGATGAATAAGATGAAGGGGCGAAACTAAGTGGCTTCATCCGTTACCAGACTCAAATCCTTTGGATGTGAAGGCAAAAACAGAAGTGTTTTGCACCCTACCTCATGCATTCACAGAAGACCTGCAAGGATGCTCAAAGTGCTCTAAAATGTACGACAATAGTTTAAAGGTAACCTGTATAATATTTGGAGATTGGCAGACATTTCTAGCGTTTAGCAGAATATAAGTCAAATGTTTGCATTTTTTGGAAAAAGTATTGTTGGCATTTCAAAGCATGTCTTCTGAACAACTAGGCCAATTTTCAATACCAGAGCAGCAATTGATAGGAATTCGAGAGTTCCTCTTAATGAGGGTATAACTTGACTCCCATTCTCATTTTAAAAAATTCGGATGGGTGATACCCTCGATTGCTTTTGCACATTGTTTTTTGTCAAAACTCTCCCTCTTTACATGTTTTTGAATTTTTGCGAAAAGTTATTTCCTAATAGTTCTACTCCAAGATATGTTTTTGATGGCAAACATCGTATATTTGTATTGTTGTGTTTAATTTTTTTTTTGTACTTTTAGTACGCCAATGGACGGTCACATTCCTAAAGTAAGGTTAGGTTAGACAGTTATAAAAAAAAGAAGAAGAGTTCGAATTTCGCAATCGATAAATTTCAGTTCTTTCGGATTTTTGACATTTGATCTATGTTGTATATAGCTGTTGCGAAATAATCGGTAATTATCATATTTTATCTCGCTGCACTACTTTAAATATGTTATTTCAGTTATCATGGCACTCAATAATACTGCCAAGCTTTTGAGAGTTTTCAACAAACCAGCAAACTTTTCCTGTGCAACCTACCACAAAAATGTTATTGAGCACTATGAAAATCCCAGAAATGTCGGTTCCCTGGATAAAAACGATAAGAACGTCGGCACAGGTCTAGTGGGAGCTCCGGCTTGTGGAGATGTAATGAAACTTCAGATCAAAGTTGACAGTGACGGTAAGATCATTGACGCTAAATTCAAAACTTTCGGATGTGGCTCAGCCATAGCTAGCAGTTCCTTCACAACCGAATGGGTGAAAGGTAAAACTGTCGATCAAGCCCTCAAACTCAAGAACACGGAAATAGCCAAAGAACTTTCATTGCCACCAGTGAAGCTCCACTGTTCAATGTTAGCGGAAGATGCTATCAAAGCCGCTTTGTCCGATTACAAAATAAAACAGAAAAAAGAAAACTGAAGAGTTTTTTGGTAAGATGTGAATAAAAATGTGATATGACCTTGATTACGTAGTTGGCTTAATAAAATAAAATTCTAATTCGTAGTTACAGTAGTGGGTTTTATTATTTTAGATATATAAGATGCATTTTCATGGGCAATATAAAGATCCCTAATGAAGAACTGGGAACATGTTTTTTTTTCAGGATCTGCCTAGATTTGTTTTTCTACTTTTACCTGCCTTTCTTCAAGGGTACTATCCGAAATATACATTGTCAAAAGTGATGTGGTCATCCCGTTATAACTTCATTCTATGGCTATTGATGAAAGAACAATTATGTCTCAATCGAAATATTGTAGAAAGGAGACATGTAATGTTTGTAAACGGTACCACTAATACATTTATGGATGTAGCCGTTACTATGTGGTAGGAAATGATAAATCATAATGAAGAAAAGATAATTGAAACTTTCTATGTTTTTTACCACTTTTATTTGTAACTAACGTTATGCAGTTTCATCGTAAAAGGACAATTTCAAACTTATACATTAATGCAAACTGAAGTAACGTTAGTTATAAATAAAAGTGGTAAAAAACAGAAAGTTTCAATCCCCTTTTCTTCGATACCACTAATCACACTGTGATTTATCTACTCTCTGGAGTATAACACAACGTTTTCATGGTGGATATACCGTCTCCAAAATCGGTTTTTTCATGTTTTGTCTTTGAAAAAGATTTCTCAGCTTCATCCATCCTTCTAGTGCGGGATCCGTTCCCCCTAATAACCATCTTAAGGAGTAAAAGTTGTACAAATTTCGGTGTTTTATAAGTTTATTTTGTTTAAACTTATACATATATCACAGCAAAATAATTAAATATGGATTATAAAGGCTCTAAAAATAAAATGGAATACATTGTAAAACATACAATTTTTTCAATATTTTAGTTTTCAATAATAGAATTCAGGAAAGTATTTCCATTAATCAATTTCGTTGTAGCAATAACAAATTCAACAGTTGATTCTTCTTGCTGGGACAAAAATCTTAGAGCAGAAATCTGAAAATAGAAATAATTATGCCGATATGAACCTTGTTAACATTTTATAATCTTCACCTCTGCGAAAGTACACCCTCCAATAAAAAATACCAAAACAGTCGTGGGAGATTCAGAAGTGTTAGAGATTGAATTGGCGTTTACCAAAGGCGATTCATCCAAAGTGGGCCCTAAAAAAAGTTTGTGAATTATTGTTATTCACTCTTCGCCTTATTAGTATGGGAAATCTGACAGTAAATGATCAACCATTTTATTCTAATATTGGGAAGTGAAATATATATTAATTTGAGCCTTTTGGAGCAGATTGGGATTACTCCTACAATTATTTTTGTTCCTGTAAAAAAATCATGCTTATTAGATTCTCATCAGGTTTTACCTGGCAGTAATCCTAGTACGTCCTGAAGTTGCTTCAAGCCCCCATTTTTTGAAACTTGCTCACATAGTCTAATACTTAATGGGGCGTAGATACTATGAACGTAGCTGATATCAGTAGGATTAACTTCTGATGTATCCTCTACAGTAAGACGAAGAGCTTTCCTAAGAACGGTATATTGCCTTGTACTGGACTGTATCTTCAGCAGACCAACTTTCTCGAGCTTGGTGATGGCCAAGAGCGTTTCTAAACCGTATACCTACATGAAACAAAACAGTGAATATTTCACTGGGGAAAGAAATGTAGAAAATCGCATGAAAAAATTATAATATTAGTAATATATTGAGTTGCTAGCAATCGCACTTCAGGAGGTAAGACTTCGAAAGAAAGGCATGCTTTTTAAAAATTTCTAATGCCCACACTACTATTTGGGTCAACTATCAGTCGAAGACTATACTTGCTCAGTCAAAAAGAGACATATATGTGAAAAACTGCAAATGAAGATTCAGATGTGATGGTTTTGATTCAATTTCGATAACCAAAATTCAATACGCATTAAAAAAATTGCCTAAGTGTCTTCAATATATTAATTTCACACGAGAGATTCCTATTCTACCTTTCATCTAGATTGTAAAATTGAATGGAACCCTTCAAAAAACTTGAATATTTTCCATGCCAATTTTTGATAACTGATTGACAGTTCCGTGTACAATTTCAATCATGAAAATAATTTCAAATGATTTGGAAGTTCATAAGGAATGGAATATCTGTTGGGAGTTATCCTCCTTTTTGAAAGCATAAATCACTTTTCGGGTTTTCAGTTTAGTTAAAAAACCTTTGATGAAAATAACAAGAATCATCATTAGAAGTTGAGATGATACGAATGACAGATAACGCATACAATTGATTCAATTCTCATTGGGGGATTATAGCAGATATTTATATTGTTTCCAAAAACCAATATCTTTTTGCGACCTACCTGAACTAAATCTCTTTTGTATCCTTCCAGAATTTTGGGTTTGAGACCCGAACTAGCGATACACTGTAAACACATTAACCTTAAGACTTTCACCAAAGGTTGTTTTTGTGCTATCATCTCTTCTATATAAGGACTAGGCTTGTCCACCTCGATGCAGTTCAGAAATTCTTGTTCAGTCTAAAACAATACAATTTAAGTAATGTTTATAGTCTACATTATATAAATTTTATTGAACAGAATGACCTCGAATTATTAAAAATTATATATTTTCAACGGAGTTATATTTATTGTTAGTACCTGAAGAGTATCTAAAAACTCATAGCTATCAGTGAATTCTTTTATACATTCCGCTATAGCTGTGTGAGTGGATAGTTGCTTCTTTTTAGCTAAAATTTGTGGTAGTCTCTGTACATAGAGCTTCATTTCTTGAACTGATTTTTCTTGTGTATTTTCTAGCTGAGCACTTATGGCCTTTGCTTGTTTGGAAAGATAGGCACCAACCTGCGTACAAATGAACAATTTTAAAAATGATATCAAGATTATTGTTGTTTGTAACATACACCATTGAAATTTTTGTCTCTGATATCTGCATAAAGCTTATCAGCTGAGTTCAGAATAATTTTTCTCTTATCTTCAGATAGGGATTCTGTATTTTTTTCTTCAGTACTCAAGAAATTATCGATTGGAAAGTTTGCTGTGGAGTTATTTATTCCAAATATTTCATCAATCAGCCCTGGAAGTTCCAAAAAGAAAAGGAACATTGTTACATTTAAATAAACATCAACAAACCTTCATAAGTCAGCTGTGTGGCTAAAGGAGTCAGTAAGTCCACTGATCTATCAATGAGTACTAACTGATCAATGCTGGATTGTTGATTTGATTTTGGATCGTCATTACTACTTTTCTCTCTCTGTAACCTCACAACAAGGTCCCAAATTTGTTTGGCAGCTGCTCCTTTTCCCCAAACTTTTGGAATTGGGCCGTACAAATTCTGCAGATAAATTATAGCTTGGGCTGTTTGATATAAATAAGTGGGATCATTCTCTATGGTATACTCCCTGAAAATATTGAAGTTAAATGTTTATATATACATGTTTTTTACATTCAAGATTGAAATCATCCAAGAAAATTATACGAAATACTTCCGCTGGCCCCCAGTTCTATATTGAAACGGATTTTTGAGATAAGTGGAATTTTAATACGAGTTGAGTACTTACCTGTATACTTCAGGTATTTCCATTGACATCACATCAGAATCAAACGGAAAAAGTTGGCACTTAAATTCGTCTATCAGCATAACACTGCCAAATACTCCTTTATGCTTAAGTCGTTCCATACAAAGTAAACTTTTTTTTGGTACAAAAAACAAATGGAACTGCTTTTTGAATCCGGATTTTGTCTTACTATCAGAGTGTACATTTTGAGCTATAATCAACAATTCATTAATACAATATTACTTCAGTGCTGAAGGGATGTATATAATAATTGAATATTCACCTATGTAATCCATGAGATGTAATTTTGGACGGGAAATGAAAATAATATGATCAACTTCAGTTTCTGGTAGAGGAACAGGGCGTAAGGGATACATTTTGGTTACCATATGTTCTCTTAGAATAGTATACTGAGCTACTAGGCCTACAGGACCAGCTAAACTGTTATCCCATACCAAAGCTTTTTTCCCTGGACATTTTTCCAACAAGTTGATTAAGTCATTTCGGGCAGAAATTTGTATTAGGGAAACATCTACTTTCCCTCCTTGCAAATGTGACATTCTACAACTTTCTTGTCGGAGCTATGATGAATTTTCAAAAAAAAATGAAATTTAGTATAAAAGTATAAAATGATTTCAAATAGAATGAAAAGGTAAACACACCAACCTTTAAATTATGACATATGTCAATCATCAATCATTTGATCTTTGACAGATTCGTAGAGTGTCTATCAGCGAGAGTTGTAACTTGGCTCTCTGGTTATGATAAAGTTCAAGTAATGGAATTGGCCATAACCTTAATCAGGTTATGTCGGTGGAATTGGCCGATGAAAGGACAGGACTTGAGAAACTGAACGTGACTGGTACACTTGTCATTTTACACCAGAAATTGTGCATTTTATGAAATATGCAGTGAGGATTTTTTTGGTACTAATTTTTATTTTCCGAAGAATCTATTACAGTTTATGTATTTAGCAATCTTAACATTTATAGTTGTCAAATTGTGTGAACTTCCACTTCCGGAGATAACGGTGACAGATCTATTTCGCTGGTTTGTTGGTTATGGTCTGTATGGTTCTATGCATGGTGTTTCGTCTACCATTGTGGTCGTCGTTGTCAAAAACATGCGATGGTTATCCAAGAAGAAGTTACTTCAGAATTGTTTTCAGTCCTCGAATTTATTCTATTGGTGGCGGGCGCGGCTTCGATCCTATTGATTGAAAAAAATGACCTGATACAAGAGCAATTAAGTGTAGGTAGCAAGATTTTATTGATCATAATTATATCTTCCTTTCAGTTGAAATAACTCTTGAGTTCTATCGGAGACCTCTATTAGTGTTATTCCTCCATAGTTTCTTCAACATTTCTATTGGATTGCAGTCGTTCATATTAGTTGAAACGGTCCAAAATGATGTTTCCAGAAATTTAATTACATAATTTCAGGTTATGATTTCCTTTTCTACTTCCTGACTTTAATTTCTTTCACTGATGATCAATAGAATTAGGGAGGATTCAATTATCTCAGTTTGTGATAGGAATGGTTCAAAAATACTTGTCACTTTTCCTTAATATTTTTATTTTTTCCCTGAAACTCGAGTATAGAGGTCTAGAATCCATGCAGCCCATACTTTTGTCGATTGATTTCCACATTTACTTCCGTTATAGTTGACAGTTGACACGAAATGCTAAATATAACTTCTCACATAATTGAAATAATTCGGGACGATGATCGTTGGATAGAGACTGGTTGTAGTTGAGATAGGGAGAACTATCAAAGAGAATCAGGGTTCTTACGAAGTTATGGTTCTACTTCACAGCTGCCCTGAAGCGAGAAGAGTCTATATCCGCTATAAATAACGGTCTTGCACAAAGAAGAATATATTGAAGAAGAGATGGAGAAAAAATGGAGTACAATATTGTGTAAAACAAGACTCTTGTACTTCCTGGACAAAAATTTTATTATAGTTATCACTATAATAAAAATAGCACTGGTCATAATAGCGCCAAATCTGGAAGCTTGAACCAAAATTGAGAAGAAGAAGAAGGAGTTAAGGTTACGATTCATGATTCAAGTTATACATAACCTAGCTTCTATGTTATGGTTATTTATCTGAAATTTTCCAAATAGTTCATTAATATGCCGAAACGTACCTGCCCTTTCGACGATGTGGAACCTTATGTAAAAAAGCAAGTTGTTGATGAAAGTAAACCAAGAGGTATTCGATCTATTGCATCTGAGAAAGCTCTGCAACTTCTGTATAAGGGCGCTTCAAAACAGTTTCAATCACTCAAGGAAGAAAAACAAGTAGTTACAGACTCATACTATAAGTGTTTCCAATGTTCTGCACCATTATCAGTAAGGAGTAGATGTTTCTATTGTGATACTTTCATATGTACAGGGTGCACCAACATTTGTTTGAAATGCGACGAGGATTTTTGTAAGAACTGTTCATTCCCAAATTATTTCGAAAGTTCCAGTGTTTGTTATTCTTGTTTCTAAAAAAATTCTGTAGTTATATTTCAGGTGGATTATTTTTCTTGGTTATTTATTGTAATATTTACAAAGTTTATGGGCTACTTTGGTGCAAACAGGTGTGTTTTTATTATGATTGATCCATTGACTAGGTAATAAATTTTTTTATATAAAAGGAAACTGGATTTAATTTATTTTTATTTCTTTCATATGAGTTGGAAGTATGTATCATTGAGAGATTTGGTAGATTATAGCTTAGTTTAGTTACTTAAATTATTCCTTATCACTGGGATAACATTGATTACCAAAAATAATAAATACACTCAAGTTATTGATTACTAAAAAAATCGAATATGTCAGTCAGTCGATCAAATACTTTATTGTCATGAAGAATGTTTAACACCTTATAGATAAAGTAAATAAAGTAGATATTACAATGTATCATCCACGGTGTCCTCATATAAATATAAGTTACAGAAGATTTACATTGGTGAATAATTAAAATAGGTACAAAACATAACATAAACACAATAACTAACAAATGAAATAGGTATACTTGGTCATAATGTGACATAAAAACTTTGAAATTGCTATATATTTATACTTCATTATGAGTTATATAACACTCTACTAGAGAGAACATAGTTATGGGTATTTATCTGAATGTGTCCTGATGATGTAAACCATTTTGATGATAAAAATGGCAATTACGGTATGGACTTTGAGGGATATAAATTAAGGTTTACACGAATCACGAGGCTTTGCATTGGACAAATATTGGACTGCATGCTATTGAATTACCAATGTACTCTGCAATAGGGTGTTAGTGCACGTTCTCTAGAGTGTGCCATACCTCAAATGTGATTTTAAGAGTGGATAGTAAAGTGTTTTGGCCATTCCAATTTGAATGCTGGCCCTCCTCAATTTGGATAGATATTATCCCTATTCGTTTCATGATTCTTTATACTCTTTCATTAATTTAAATTCATGTTTCTGTTCATTCATTTTATCTCAGTATTAGTTTACATATTTTTTATCACAAATTTCGTTTTATTGATACCATGTGTTCTTTTTTTTTATTGTATAATGTTTTGAAATAGTTCAGACAGCTAAATAAAGTTATTCAGTCCAATTTAACCTATTTTTTTCATATTTCCGTTCATCGAATCAATAATAACCTTTTAATCATCAAATATTGTCTTGATCACAATAAATATTTTGAAAACAATAATAGAAAAAAATCTTTGTGAATTTTTTTCTACTGCTTACTGTTTTTGATACCACTAGAAAATAACATTCATTAAGAAAAAAATGATAGTTTTGTTCAAACTTTATTTATAATTCACAATATACATATTAGTTACAATACATTCATTTTATAGTAGAGCAGTTTTTATACTTGATATTATTAAAATGACATTTAAATTGTGGGATTTGCTCAAACAGAGTTAATTATGTTTTTTGAAAAATTCAACAATTCATAATAAACTATGCGCTACAGATGGCGTATTTGTAAGGTTGTATGTCATCTCACACATGCTCTTTCTTTAAGGACAGTTGAGCCCAGAAATGCATTTGTAGTTCAGCCCAGAACCACTGATGAGACCTACGGCGGGTTCAAATAGCGCTGTCTGGTCTTGGATAACAAATGCCTTGTGTTTGGACTCTGTATATTTCAACTACGATAACTGTGTTTGAGCATAGCAAGCATACTTAAATAATCCGCTCACAGTTCGAAACCAGAAACAATATTATGATTGGAGAAAGGTATAGAAAATAATGAGGACATTTCTGTTTTCTGGAAAATTGATTGTGAATACCATTATTTGGTACAAAAAGATATTTTCAACCTATTCCTCCTTATTAAAAATTATTTATTTAAATTCTCAGATTGTTGAATTGTAAATGTAAAGTGATTTTAAACAGATAAAATGGTATTTTTCAAATATATACATCATCAAAGATTTGTATAAAAACCTTAGCATTTTAATATTTTTCTGCTTCATTCCTGTGAGCTATTTGTTATTTGACTTTCACGATTAAAACTGTTATGTTAAAATTACACATAGTTACAATATTAAACTTTACAATTTAAATAGATAAATTCATTTAAAGTTACAGTGACCATACAAACCATGAAAAGAAAACATATAATTGATGAAAGCCACTGGATTACAATATAACTAGTAACTATTCATAATAAAATTTTTCTAATATATTTTGATACTACAATTTTCATACAGGGTGTTCGCAAAAATTATTGCGCGAGAAAGTAGTCCAAAAATTTAGAAATTTTAAGAAACTTCACATCTCTATCATGAAAAGAGAAACTGTCATACATGGTATTCTTTTGGTTATCGTGGTGCAACACCCTGTATATACTTATAACAAATGTAATTTCCATCTAAAATGTCTTATTTCTAATCTAAATAGATTCCAACAAAAGCTCTGAACGAAGTTTTTCTACTAAGTTAAATTATGATATATACCGTCACAGGATGATACAAAAATGCAAGAACATTTTTGAACCGCCCTTGTCACAGAATGGTTTCAATGAAAAAACGATTAAAATATATTTCGTTGTGATAAAAATGAGAGTAACTATCCAAAACTTTGATCCGAATGAAAAAACGATTATAACAAACTTTCACTAATATTTATCAAATATTTCTTTGGTCCGTGCATAATTGTTTAATAATTGATAAAGTAGTGAGATTTTCATAAGTGTACAAGGCGATTTAAATTATAGTACCCTGGAGTAAATTTCAATATCAATGGGCCCGTCATACTATTTTCAAATCACCCTGTACCGTAAATTCATTAATGTGCTCTATTATATAGCTCTCATCGATTTAAACAGTTTTCTTCAATCGTTATGATACTGGCTTATTAGAAAAAAAAAGGTAAAAAGATTTGCCTAAAAGTATAATTGAATTTACTCTTCAACGATGACATTTAAGGTGAATAAACAATGCCAAATCACTATATTTGAGCTGATGAAATTATGTTGTTCTACAGATTGGCATCTTAGATCAAATTCAGATTAACTGCACTCATATAATCTTCTCTCAGGAGCGGTACCAACGTTGGCGTCCGTCTGAAAAAAAAAATAAGTTTCCTGAAATGTAGTACACAACAATTATATGAATAGCAAACTTATTATTTGTAATTTTTATATTGGAAAAGTTGATTTTGAATTTAAAATTGGTATACTACGGCCATATAACAGAAGCTGAATACCATCATCTATGCAGTGCATAAAGTAGATATTACAATGTATCATCCACGGTGTCCTCATATAAATATAAGTTACAGAAGATTTACATTGGTGAATAATTAAAATAGGTACAAAACATAACATAAACACAATAACTAACAAATGAAATAGGTATACTTGGTCATAATGTGACATAAAAACTTTGAAATTGCTATATATTTATACTTCATTATGAGTTATATAACACTCTACTAGAGAGAACATAGTTATGGGTATTTATCTGAATGTGTCCTGATGATGTAAACCATTTTGATGATAAAAATGGCAATTACGGTATGGACTTTGAGGGATATAAATTAAGGTTTACACGAATCACGAGGCTTTGCATTGGACAAATATTGGACTGCATGCTATTGAATTACCAATGTACTCTGCAATAGGGTGTTAGTGCACGTTCTCTAGAGTGTGCCATACCTCAAATGTGATTTTAAGAGTGGATAGTAAAGTGTTTTGGCCATTCCAATTTGAATGCTGGCCCTCCTCAATTTGGATAGATATTATCCCTATTCGTTTCATGATTCTTTATACTCTTTCATTAATTTAAATTCATGTTTCTGTTCATTCATTTTATCTCAGTATTAGTTTACATATTTTTTATCACAAATTTCGTTTTATTGATACCATGTGTTCTTTTTTTTTATTGTATAATGTTTTGAAATAGTTCAGACAGCTAAATAAAGTTATTTGTGACACATCATTTTGAAGCTCCTGACGAATACTTCACAACCCTAGAATATGAAATCAATATCTTCACCTACTTCAAAATGGAGGAACATTTAATAATTTCCTAAAGACAAACACATTAATATCGATATTTCTAGAAATATTCCTTTGCTTTATGCTGCTATATGGCAATTCCAACAACCCGATGAGGTTTGTTAAGTTATTTTTTGTTTATAAAACCGACAAAACATGTCAGTACGACAATGAACATCAATGTTCAGTTAGAATATTCTCATATAGTTTTCGGTTTTACTAGTAGAATAGTACCACGTCAACAATCTCTAAAAGGTCAATTCTCGTCCATTGGAAGAAAAAATTAAAGCGTTTTTTATTTATGGTGCGACGCGTAACTTTCGCGAAACCGAAAGGATTTTCAATGAACGTTTTCCGAATCGTCGTATCAGTAGAAAATATTTGAGAGAACTTGTATCCAAATTCACGACTACCGGTAGTGTACATAACAAAAAACCCCCAGGTAATCCGTCCATTCCGGAAGAACAGCAAGTGCAAATAATTGGTGAGATGGTATATAGTAAATCCTGAACAGTCTACTTATTCTGTCGCGAATGTTTGTGAGGTGTCTCCTTCTACTATGTGGAGACTTTGGAAGAGGAATAGGTATCATCTATACAAAATTAAAATGGTACACAATTTAACTGAAGATCACCCTGATCGAAGAACAGAATTCTGCGAAATTATAACGGAAACCATTGCAAGGCATCCTACCTATCTCCACAATATTTGTTTTAGTGACGAATGTACATTTTTTCAATCAAATGGCAATGTTCACATATAAAATTGCCGTTATTGGAATGACAACAACCCTCACGTTTTCCGGAAAACGCATATCCAGAAAAAAATAAAGTTTGGGCAGGAATATTGGGAAAGCATATTGTAGAACCTCTATTTATTGATCAAAATTTAACAGGGGAACTGTATTTGAACATGCTGGAAACTACTGTTGACCCTCTCATCACTGAAATCGTCGCAGCGAATCCTAATGAATTCGATATGGATATTGTATTCCAACAAGATGGAGCATCACCACATTACTCCAGACAAGTAAGAAACTATTTGGTCCTACAGAATGGCCAGCCCGCTCGCCAGATTTGACACCTTTGGACTTTTTTTAATGGGGATATTTGAAGCAAAAGGTGTACCAAACTGAACCTGCTTCAATATTGGATATACGGCAGAGAATAATGAATATTTGTAGAGATATTGACGTTACTGTATTCGAAAATGTTCGGCGTGAAATGTTGGATAGGCTGTTCATATGTCAAGACGTCCAAGGCAACCATTTCGAGCATCTTCTGAACTGACCTCAAGCTTATTGCCTCATATTATGTAGTTAAATGTCAATGTATTCAGGCAATTATTAAAAGTTCCGCCATTTTGTAGTAGTTGAAGATATTGACATTATATTCTAGGGTTGTGAAGCATTTGTCAGGAGCTTCAAAAAGATATGTCACCAAGACCCCCCTTTCCATTAAATTTTTTTTCTAGATGGCGCCCAGTCGCCATCTTGAAAGTTTCATCTGCAAATTTCACTTCAAAATAAAGTATTCATGCATCATCCCAAATTTCAATTTTTTTAGTTGACCCGTTCAAAAAATAAAAGGGGGGGGCATTGAAGAAAAGCACTGTATATCCAATAGATATAGTTTGGGAGTATTTTAATCGGTATGTGTGAATGAAGGCTCATTAGACACATCTCCAGAAGTCAGAGAAAAGTAGAATTTTTTCTCGAAGTATTTTTCCCAGAATGAAATCTCAAAGTTGCTTTTTCAAAAACTGCAGGCCAACTCTTACATGAAAAAAACATTAGAAATTTTGAGTGGTTAAACTTTGTGTTCTGTGTGTTTGTACAAGTGAGTAATAACAGTAATATTCGTCTAATATAGCCCCACATGAAAATAAACTTGGTAACTAATTCTAAAATGCCCTGACCTAAGGAGCTTGAAAATAAATCTTCAACCTTCTTTGAATAGGGGCCACATTTTGTAAATGGCAAAATTTGCTCGTACCTCACACCTTCTCAAAACATTACTTACAAATATTGATCCCCAATTACATTTTATGATATTGATGAGTAAGGAAGAAAAACGTCTAAAATAACACCGGAGTACGGTATCCTATTCGTTATCACTTTTACAGCCTTAGCCACCCAGCTACATTTATCTTAATGTAGCTGAAAAAAGATGAAGGGAAATTTTTCATTTATTTTTATGTGATAGCTCTCAGTATTTATTATTACGAGTTATGAACCCGAGTTCGCTGACCGAGCATCACTCAGGGATAGAGTTACATCCGCTGTTCCAGACGCGACTACATGCTAAGTCGACAAAACCGAACTTATAAATTATTGATAATTTAATAATCATGCATTCTTGTTACTTTGCCAGAACTGTAACGTTGTATTTGTTCAAATTAAAGCCTTTTTAAAAAAGTATTTTCGTATATCGCATACGTAACTTACATTAAATCTGTTAAAATCCGTTTTTCCCATCGTCCGGCTTTGCGGTTTTGACCACCGGTTGACACAGCGGTCGATTGAGTGAATGAAATAAATCACCCACGCCAACTCACCAGGGTACTGTCGAGAGGCTACATTATTATATTGCGTACCTAATATTGAATTTATTTTAGTGTGGTATGTCAATCAAGAAATCATTCATATACCTACTTTATTTAATAAATTTCCTTACTCACTTGGATTCGAAGTAAGGTATCTACATATAATATGTAAGAGATCTTTTCTTGCCATATCTCATACTTTCACATATTTTATCTTTTGTACGTATTCAGAATCTCATTTCCTAGCATTTTCGTATACATATACCCAGTTTGAATCAATTCCCGCCATGAGCAACCGGCTTGTAAAACATTTCCTGACTGACAGGTAGATGCATATATACTCGTATATGTGTTAACATTCAATTTTTCTAGCTTGAGATTCCCGGTTTCCCACAAACTCTTCCGTTTCGTAATATCTTTTCCATCTCTATTTCCATTTTCATACATAACAAATGCTATATATGATAAATGGTAGGAAAATAAATAATGCATCCTACATCCTACCGTTCCGAAGGGAAATTTGTTTTCTGGAAATCTATATCGAAACTTCTGCTATCACTTCAATAAGTTATATTTCATAAATGAAAGTGTGTGGAAAACTTCAATCAAGAGGGTTTCACGGATAAAAGAGTTAACGAAGAAAAAAGAACAAATGAAGAGTACGTAAACTGAAGGAGCCGGAGATTGAATAACTTTTACAATGTTCACTGTTGATCTTAACGTTTCAAATCCTCAGTTATAATCAGTGACGGATTAAAACCTTCTATAAAAGGGTCATGCGATTGTCACCTGTTCTACAATATTGTACACATGGTACAATTAATTGTCGATCTGAGGTACTAGTGGCCAATGCCACGACCAGGAGGCAACATTGTCCCTTCTCTCCAAATTGCTTCTTTTTCGGATAACCCGTAACCATCTGGCAGGATCATTACCATTGAAGGTAGCCAGTCTTTTGACCACTGAACGCGACCAATGATTCCTTCCTTGCCGTTATCTGGGTATTCTATCCTCTTGGTCACTACGGCTGGTATACCTAACCACAAAAAGTCTTCTTGTTTGAAATATGTGTTCTCTGCTTCACTTCCTAGCTGCTTCTGTATTTGGTTGCTGGTAATCAGTAGGCGTTTTTTCTACGATACATTATTTGGATGCCCTTTGAAATGTGAAGGACCTCTCGTTTGCAGTACTCCTCCAAGTCACGGCGGTAGTTCCTGTTTTGTATGTGTCTCTCGGTTTCTATCAATGTCCAGCACATCAAGGCTCTTGGGACAACCAACTATAGTCCACTTCGCATCATTTGAGCTCAACCCCTTGCTATGCCAATGTCACCGATCAAACAGTTTGATCTTTCTCTTGAAGATGATCACTTGGTGATCGAAACAGGCATCGAGGTGTTAAAATAACGATTTGGTGTTGGAAAAAAAACTCCGATAACATTCATTACCACACCAAAGGTTCCATACAGTGCATCACAAGTATATTACATTTCATTTATATTTTTTGGATGAATTGTTTCATTTCCCCGATAAACTCTAATGCTGAAACCAAAATTAATAACCAAGGCCATAGAAACGTGAATATTGGATAACATCTCGTGACTTATTTTCACTCAATCAGATTACTTACTCGTCGAAAGCTGCGGCTCCTCTGGAAAACGCAGCAGCCGCGGCTACCGGCAACTGTTTAGCTTGAGCTGCTCTCGCTCTGGCTAACAGACTCATCACGGTCCGTTTGGTCGGAGTCATCGACGTTCTGGGACCTCCGGCCAAAAGGGGTCTCTTTCGGGTACCGAGAGCTGCTGCTGGACACAACGGTCCTCCCCCGTTATCCGATGTTGGCGAAGCTTGGCTACCGTTGGCTGGAGTAAGAACGTCGGAAGTTGGAGGGGAAGTACCTGCAAGATGAAAAGGGTTATTTCATTAGGTTTTTTGGTTCTGAGGTCGGTACAGTTCGATCATGCGCAATTATTGAAATTTGTTTTTATCTATTCAGAACAGTTCTGTTATCGTTTCCAAAATGTTTTGTTTTATTTCATAACTGATTCGGAACTATTCCAGAATAGTAAGAACCTCTTGATTCGGATATTGCAATTTGCACATCTCATCCTTTATCCTTATTTCAGCTACAATTTTGATATTTGTAATTACATTATGTTATATTCTTGTTTATCTACACAGGTAAATCCACCAACAAGCTTTTATATCCTGCAAACTGTGTAATGAAATAAGTTCATGGGTTTCATTCACTTAGTTTCAATTTTCTATTTATATTTCACTTATTGCTAAACATGGCCCTAACTCTCTTTATATATGATGAAATTGACCGATACTTGGTTTACAAAACTGTAATTTTGTAAATTGTCCAGTGAGAATCCCATAAAATAGTATTACTTGAATTGTCGATCAGTGATATCAAAAATCATGGAGAAAGCCATTAATCACCATATCCTTAAATATTTGGAAGGCTTCAACGTCTTGAGCGATCATCAATATGGCTTTCGGAAACAAAAATCAACAGGCGACCTTCCATCGTATGTGAGCCATATTTGGAATAATGCAATCGAGGAACATGGAGAATCAAGAGCTGTTGTGCTTGATATTTCTAGAGCCTTTGACCGTATGAGGGTTTGCTGGCCAAACTTCGATGCTATGGTTTGTCGGATTATTTATGTGTACAGCTCTCCAGACTTTCTGAAAGAACATTCAATGCAAGTGGCCGTCGATGGATATCGAATAATTTTATCATCAACGCTGGTGTTCTCCTGGGATCCATATTGTCTCCAACCCTCTTTTTATTGTACATCAACGACTTATTGGAGAAACCAAGAATCCAATATATTGCTTTGCTGACGACAGCACACTTGTCTCGTCATTCACCGGCAGCAGGACATTGCATATTTTAATTAGCTTTTAGTGGTGATTTTGAATTGGGGTGAAAGCAACCAGGTTCAATTCAATGCCACGAAAACCCAGGCATCGGTTTCCTCGGAAATGATAAATGTCTCCGAACAGGATATAATAATGTCAGACAATTCTGCTTTCTGCGTTGATAAGTTTGTTGGGGGTTAAAATGGACACCAATATGTCTTGGCACTATCATTTCGCTGGAATTGCACAGGCTGCTTCTCAAAAGCTTGGAACATTGTTCCAAACCAAAAAACTGTACACACCTCAGCAACTTTTGATACTTATAGATACTTTCACGGAAGGTGTTCAAGTGACTTGGCACAGTTGATTCCATCAAGAGCGATACATATCAGAAATAAGCGACGGACTGTGGCTGCTCATCGTTTTGAGGTTCAATTCAGTACACCTCGAACTTCACTGTTTAATAACTTTTTCGTTGGGAGAACTGTGTTTATGTCGAACAAACTTCCTGAGTACGTATTTCGAAATGAACTTTATCTCCAGCTATTCAAATCTAACGTGAATCGCTACTGTCGTACAGGTACCGCTTTCAGAGCGCCTCAAGGGTTTTCCGTAGTGCTTTGTCCTTAAAAAAATTATTTCATTTTTTGCGTAGTTGTTGCATGGTCGATCCCTAAATTGTTCGAGCACCACCAAACTACCTCTAACTTTTGCCAAGCTAGAATTCTTCAAAATTGGTATGTTGGACATCTTCTTCTCCACAATTTTGAATTTTTTCCACTTGAACCCGTTTATCAGTCGTTCAATGAGAGTGCATAAAAAATAACTAGTCCATTATCTTCGGCCGTCGCCAAATTGGACAATGACGTCATTTTGGTAATAGATCATAACGTCCGCCATATTGGATTGAAAATGGCAAGTGATCGTGCATTATTACGAGAACCGTCTGTTGAATTTCAACTTAATCAGACACTGGGAAGTGGTTACAGACACTGAAACATGAGAAACAGGTGAAAGTAAATGAAAGCTTTCAATAAATATACATAAGGATCATCAAGTAGTCTTTAGCGATACATCCTCCATGGTGAATACAGTCAGTCTGGATTTCCTGTACTGCCAAAATTGGTGCTTAACATAAACAGAAAGGTACAATTTCAATGCGACATGTAATATGATTTAGTTTGTGGCAATAATCCATTAACGTGATATTAATCGCCAATTAGAAGGCATAAGCGGATCCAGCCAATTTTAAAGGGGGGCTGACTAAATGATAACTTTATCAATGACCCAAAATAATATTCAATATATAAAAATGGATGTTTGTTGGTAAGTGATAAACTTCTACATTGCTCAACCGATCGTGATGAAACTTGACATGTATAAGTAATTTTTCATAGAGAAGGTTTTTAGGCTATCAATTTCTCTGCAACTCGCCACTAGATAGCGCTGCAGAACAATTTTTTGAAAGCACTGTTCTATAACGCTGCGCACGCCTAAGTTCGTTGATTGTGATTCTGTCAAAACATTGGAACAGCAGCGATACAGCAACATAGTACTAATTAGTACTACAACTACCAAATTCTACGTGGGCGAAGTCGCGGGCAAAAACTAGTAATATATAAATTTCCCTACTTTCATGCGTAAATTAGGCCATATTTCAAAATATTTTTATTAATCTATGTAATTACTAAAGGTTTTATCTTTATAATTGTTTACCATACGGGTTGAGCTTGTGAGTAAAATTATTATGATGTATATGAACACAAATTTACTTTGTATGACCATAACATGGAACAACAAAGAATAAAATAAAGTAAATAATATAAACACTGATATAAATGAATATTATAAAAGAAATGATGAGACTATGTTTCATAATAGTTTTAAGGAGTTCATAGTTTTTACGGAATGTTTACTTCATATAATGAAATGTAACTTTTTTTTTCAATTTGGCGAATTCATCGACAATCCTGTTTGGGTCGATTTTGTCTGTTATTTCTCGATGAACATTCATGTTGCTTTACCGTGCAGCCTTAATCCCCCCTCTGAATCCGCCAATGTAAAAAGGTAAGATCTCGCCAATCCTCATCACACACAAGTTTCGACTTCTGATGGTTGTTAGTATTGTTAGTATTCCACAAGGACATCGCCCATCTACCAACTTCTCGAACAAGTTAAACTGTTAACGTCTGACATCCTGACTAACAGTGACTTTGTCTTTTGTTATCAAAAACAAAAGGACTGTTGATGTGGATGCAGATTCTCCGCATAATATAATCCACCTAAGTCTCCTTTTTATCTCGTTTAATCTCAGCGTGAGAAATGACATAATTTATTTTACGGTCCGACGAGAGAGAATTAATTATGTAATAAAATATTAATTAATCATAATTATAACCGATTATAATACAGCTCAGGCGCTAGTTATTACCCTATAAATCTCTTTCGCTTCATAAGGTGGTTGATGATGCTAGTGAAGAAGGAAATGTTTAATGAATATAGTCCTTAATTCAATTAGTTTCAAGAAAATATTGGATTTTCAGTATTCAATGTATTAATATTGTACAAATGAAATTGGTGGTGACATCGATAAGTGAAATATATTGTTGTTTATATTATCTTATTTTAAACACGCTAAATTCAATATTTCAGCATAATTACTTGAAGGTGTTTACTTAAAATTACATAACTGAGATCATCAGTTTTCTCAGAAAACACTAATTGAGCAGCAAATAGTATTGATAATAAGTATTTTTATTGACCATTCAAATGATACAGAAGAATAAATATCGCCACTGAAACTGACAAAACTCTTCAAATAATCTTAATTCATTGCCTTTTCAGTGATTTATATTACTTACCATAACTTTGGGGTTAACTTTTCAGTTCACCCTTCATTATACTTCAATAAATTCTCAACTAAAATTCAAATTCAATTGAAGTCGTTTATTTCCTTGAAATGACAAAAAAGGTATAGCAAATATTCATTATTAATAAAAGAACAAAACAAAATATACATACAAGAAAGAACATGATAACTATACACAGTAGCAAATCACATTGTTGTATTTAAAAACTCGTCAAGAGTATAAAAACACCTTTCTAACCGAAACGATTTAATTTTTTTCAAACAACGAAATGCTGCATATCGACTTCAATTTCTTTGCTAATTGGGTCCAACTCAGATCCACTTTAGTGTGTGCTCCACCTGTAGAAGCAACATGATCCTGGAACTCCTGGCTGGATAGCCCTGGCAGCTGAAGCCATTAATGGAAAAAGAAGAAGAAGAACAGTTGTAAATTCTATGTCCTATACGTTTTGGTGCACTTTAAGTTATCTTATACTTGGCCGCTCTAACGTGTATCATTTGCTTTTGCCGAGTGTTTTCATCATGAATATCACTGTTGAGAATAAAGTCATCTCTGTTAGTGAAAACAACTCATAAATATATAATCCAACCAGAGTCAAAATTTCATGTGTAATGAAAATGTTTCTGCATGAATACTAGCGAGAAACGTAAAACAAACAGCGTAGGTTAGCTTTTTGTTGAAAAAATACGTTTTTGCTCATTGCAGAGTTGCCCCACAGACATACAGCATAGCGCAACCTGGATTCGACCTGGGCATGATAATCAGCCATAAGTTGGTTTATGTTGAGAACATTTCTCAAGTTATTGGAAAGATAGGTTGATGAACTTAATTTTGAAACTAGTTGATCACAGTGATTATTCCAAGAAAGACTCTGGTCCATTTGAATGCCTAGGAATTTAACAACATCATGGGTGTTTCTCCAAATAGTGTCATTAACAATCACCTGAATATCATCGGTTTCATTCTGACAGTTGGGAAAGCGGATTTCCTGAGTTTTTTTTCATATTGAAAAACAGGTAGTGACTATTGAAACTGTTTGAAACTATAACCAGAGAATATTCGCATTTTCGTGTTAATTCATTAGTCGCTTTGGCAGAATATGGTATTTCCTGTCTATATTATTGTGTAATACCTAGCGAAAACAATGTATAGTAATA